CGTCAGTTGGTCGTGTATCCTGTCGGGGCCCCACGGTCGCCGCGAACAAGCAGGCATGGCACTGGGGCCTCACGATGGGGGAGGTGGCCAGGGGTGCTGCACGGGCCCGTTCGCGCCCAGATTGTCGGGACCTCTCAATCCGATCTGCCGTCCTGGAGGAGTACACGTTTCTCTGTTCAACGTCCCATGACCATCGCAATGCAGCAGGCATGGCGTTTAAGCCTCCCAAGAGGGAGCCGCCAGGGCGATTCTGTTTTTGTTGTTGCCGTGCGCTTTTTTTTTTTGCCTTCCCCGGCTCCTCGTGTTCCTCCTGCTTTTACGCTGCTGCTGTTCCTCCTGCTGGCTGCGCGCCTGCAAGTGTTCGAACGAGCCCTGCCAACGCTCAGTTTGACTCTTGCTGAGGCTCGCTCAATCTCAGACGATCACACGTGGAACGTGCCAACACATGAGGTGCACATACGGGGATCTCCGCGTTCAGTACGTTCGAATGCTGTTCGGCGTCTCGACAGCCATACACGGGAGAGGAGTGATTAGTGTACCGTGTCCAAACGAGCACCAGGAGGACCCCTAACGCAGACAGAAGTCATCACCTCAAAAAGACGTGAAAGCGATGCACGTATGTTCCGCAAGAAATCAATGACCACTACACAAAAAATCCTCTGGTGGGGAGACGGCCCGAATGTATGTGCGTGGCCCATCGTTTTTCGCAACCGCGCGTTTTAGTATGATAACGGCTCCTTGATCATGTGCGTTTTTCCATAAGCGCAGGAGAAATCACATAGTTATTGGCCTTTGTTTTCCGCGCGGTAGGTCCGGAGTGCGTGGCGCTGCAGCGCCCGACCAACATCGCCATTATTTCACACACGGCTGGTTCTGTTCGATTATGAGCCCGGGGTCTCGGTGGCGCACTGCGCCCGAGATTGGGGGCCTCGAGAGGCCATTTGGAACAACGAGTGGGGGTTGTGATTGTTGGGGCTTCCTCTTGGCGTCTCATGGCCTGGCAACCCCTGACGGGGCGTGGCGGAGTGGGTTTGTCTGCTTAGCCTCAGGCTGCTTGGCGGCTGGCGGATTTCAGCGTGGGGCTGCCATGCTGTCTTCTCTCCACTCTCCTTCGGTTGGCTGGCTGGTTGGCTGATTGCAACCCGTTCGTCGCCTTCGGTGTTGTCGTCACGGTCGCGGTCGCCCAGATCGTCGCGCCATCGCCGTCGCGACCGTTTCGCAATCACCCCGCCGTGGTCGCAAGCTCGCGCGCGGGCAATGAAACCGATATAGTTCCGCTTCTCACCAAGACGATTGCGCTGTATGTTTTTTTTTGTTCTGCGCCACCCGTTTGTGGGGTGGTGGTCATAATTATGTCGCGGAGATGTAGTAGTAAATGCACATTTGTTGGTAATTTTTCGCGCAAGGCCTAGCAACCAGTCGTGGAATAGTCAACTGGGAATCCAGAAGGTATATGACAGTTATTCTGGGACATTTCGATCCATGTCGAGCCGTTCTGACGCAGTCGTTCATAACCGTCGGCGGTTTCGAATCATTGTGATGTCCTTGTGGGAGCTGGTGGCACTCCCGCCCTGCCTTCGCCTCTCTGTGACCCCTCTCCCGCCCACCTGGCGCAGCCTCACATCCTCGCCAGGACGGCCTCGATAACGCCAGGGCCCCCTGGGCGCTATCTGAGGCCACAGGGGGAAATGGCAACGGAAAGCTGAGAACCTGAGCAGCGTCCCTCTCTCACTCCTTTCAGGAGGGAAAGAAACACACAGACACAATGAATCCTCCATTCCCCTAGAAAATATGGGAAAATATGGGAAGTGGTGGGGAAGACAAAAACCGAGAACATATGAGAAAATGTGGGGAATCCTTTTATTCCCCACATTCTAAGTGGGGTTCTGATTTTCTCTCCACCCGCGTCACACCCGCGTTCACCTCACCTCCTCCTTCTCGCTCGTACACACACCACACCACACCACACCACATCGCACCACACCACACCACGCCACACCATCCGTCACATCACATCACATCAGGAGACACACGCACATCACATCACACCACACCACACCACACCACATCACCGCGGTCTCTGTCCGCCCCAGGGTCGCAGGGCGTGGCAGGCGTGGCACTTGCTCGACACCATAGGGGGTGTGCAGGGAGTGGTCCCTCACCGCGGTCTCTGTCCGCCCCAGGGTCGCAGGGCGTGGCAGGCGTGGCACTTTCTCGACACCATAGGGGGTGCGCAGGGGGTGGTCTCTCACCGCGGCCGCTATCCGTGTCGTCCAGGGCACAGCAGGCATGGCATATTCTCGACACCATAGGGGGTGCGCAGGGGGTGGTCTCTCACCGCGGCCGCTATCCGTGCCGGTCGTCCAGGGCACAGCAGGCATGGCATATTCTCGACACCAGAGGGGGTGCGCAGGGGGTGGTCTCTCACCGCGGCCGCTATCCGTGCCGGTCGTCCAGGGCACAGCAGGCATGGCATATTCTCGACACCATAGGGGGTGCGCAGGGGGTGGTCTCTCACCGCGGCCGCTATCCGTGCCGGTCGTCCAGGGCACAGCAGGCATGGCATATTCTCGACACCATAGGGGGTGCGCAGGGGGTGGTCTCTCACCGCGGCCGCTATCCGTGCCGGTCGTCCAGGGCACAGCAGGCATGGCATATTCTCGACACCATAGGGGGTGCGCAGGGGGTGGTCTCTCACCGCGGCCGCTATCCGTGACGGTCGTCCAGGGCACAGCAGGCATGGCATATTCTCGACACCAGAGGGGGTGCGCAGGGGGTGGTCTCTCACCGCGGCCGCTATCCGTGCCGGTCGTCCAGGGCACAGCAGGCATGGCATATTCTAATGACCCGGGGGGGTGCGCACACCGCGGCCGCTATCCGTGCCGGTCGTCCAGGGCACAGCAGGCATGGCATATTCTCGACACCAGGGGGGTGCGCAGGGGGTGGTCTCTCACCGCGGCCGCTATCCGTGCCGGTCGTCCAGGGCACAGCAGGCATGGCATATTCTCGACACCATAGGGGGTGCGCAGGGGGTGGTCTCTCACCGCGGCCGCTATCCGTGCCGGTCGTCCAGGGCACAGCAGGCATGGCATATTCTCGACACCATAGGGGGTGCGCAGGGGGTGGTCTCTCACCGCGGCTATCCGTGCCGGTCGTCCAGGGCACAGCAGGCATGGCATATTCTCGGTGCGCAGGGGGTGGTCTCTCACCGCGGCCGCTATCAGGGCACAGCAGGCATGGCATATTCTCGACACCATAAGGAAAGGGGGTGGTCTCTCGCACTCTCACCGCGGCCGCTATCCGTGACGGTCGTCCAGGGCACAGCAGGCATGGCATATTCTCGACACCAGAGGGGGTGCGCAGGGGGTGGTCTCTCACCGCGGCCGCTATCCGTGACGGTCGTCCAGGGCACAGCAGGCATGGCATATTCTCGACACCAGAGGGGGTGCGCAGGGGGTGGTCTCTCACCGCGGCCGCTATGCGTGACGGTCGTCCAGGGCACAGCAGGCATGGCATTTTCTCGACGCCATAGGGGGTGCGCAGGGGGTGGTCTCTCACCGCGGCCGCTATCCGTGACGGTCGTCCAGGGCACAGCAGGCATGGCATATTCTCGACACCAGAGGGGGTGCGCAGGGGGTGGTCTCTCACCGCGGCCGCTATCCGTGACGGTCGTCCAGGGCACAGCAGGCACGGCATATTCTCGACACCAGAGGGGGTGCGCAGGGGGTGGTCCCCCATCAGTTTCGGGCTCGCAAGTGTGGCAGGCGTTGCATTTTCTCGACACCAAAAGGGGTGCGCAGGGGGTGGTGCCCTTATGCGGCGCGGGCTCGCAAAGTGTGGCGGGCGTTGCACCTTCTCGACACCACAAGGGGGTGCGCAGGGGGTGGTCCAACATATCCGCTTCGGGCTCGCAAATTGTGGCAGGCGTTGCACGTTCTCGACACCACAGGGGGTGCGCTGGGGCTGGTCCCCCCTATCCGTTGCGGGCTCGCAAAGTGTGGCAGGCGTTGCAGATCCCCGACGCCACAGAGGCGAACGACAATGCCAGGAGGCTGTGCTTGGTGCAACATGATATGACCACGCAGGATCTGAAATAAGTATGTGGGGTTCCTCGGTAGCATAATTTGTGTGCATTTATCTGTGTGCCCCAGGGCCCCTTCATCCTTCTCCCTCCCCTCCCCCTTCCTCTTCGGACCGCCGCGCGGCGCACAACGCGGCCATGCTCCGTCGACGAGGCCGAGGCCGCTGCTCCTCTGGCTTGGCAGGAGCGGCGGGGAGCGCGGAGCGCCCGGTGGCTCTGCTGAACCGTCTGTGCCGTCTCGGGCGCAGCTCCCGGCCCGCCCAGGGAGGCCCGCGGGCCCTCCTGGAGGGGGGCTCGGGGGCGCAGCCGCCGAAGCGAGCCCGCTCCGAGATCTCCTCGGGGCCTTCTTCAGGGCCACCTCAGACCGTCTGCGGGGGGCGCTCTCGAGGGCCGCATCGTGGCGTCTTGGACCTGTGGGTTGGGCCCTCCAGAGGGGCTCGTCTCCTGGCCTCGGGGCTGCCTCGGGGCTCTTCGGGCAGCGTCTGGGGCACCTCGGAGTCCTCTTGTGCCACGAGGGGTGGACCGTGAAGCGGTACTGAGTGAGAACAATACGTTGCTTCGGTATTTTGGTCGCCCAGGGTGCGTCCGCGTGAAGCCTCAAGGGCTTTTGAAGCCTCGTGTAAGGCATTTGACATCTCGGACCCCGCTTGGCCAATCTCGATCCATGTCGGACCTGCGATAGCCCCAATGGGATTGTTTTTCTAGTCCTCCCCGCAACCTGGGTCCATCCCTCAAATTCGACAGTTCTTGTCCCGTGAGAGGGATTTTTGCGAATGTACCCTACTGAACGACCTCTCGATGGCAAGGGAGTGTCGATCACGCCCAGGGCCCGAATCAAATTCGAACGGCGTCCTAAGGATCTCATAAGTGTCGAGAGATCAGTCTCACGCGCTCACTGATCCCGCAATCCGGTCGGCAGATTCCACTTGTCATTCGGATGGCTCTTAGCGAGGGGCTGCTCGGTACTCTCACGATGAAGATGCTTGATACCTTTGTTTCGATATTCCTGGCGGTGCTGTGGTTTAGTGCTTTCAACCAGTTTATCCGCACTTTCAAGGTGGGAACGTGGTTTCCCTTTGCAGCAGAAGTAGTCTGCTTTGTGCAGGTGATGGTGCTTTATTACGTTGCCATGACTGTCGCGTGGCTGTGGCGTGACAGGCAAGTCCACTTGACCACGTTCACTGTTTGCGGTGCCCATTACATTGCCTTCGCTGGTATTGGGGCGACTACCAGCGTCCAGGAATCATTAAGCGCGGCTGTCGGAGATGAATGGTCTGTATGGTCGTCAGTGACTTCGTTCGCTTTCGTCGTCATGGCCATCGGGTTCCTGATGGTAGTGTATGCGCTCACTTGGACGTTTTTCCGTGTGGATAAGACCGACGACCATTCGTTCCAGCGGTCCATTGATGAGATGGAAATAGATATTACAGGATTAGTGAGTTCGTTCTTGGCCACGCAGGCTGTGCGGCAGGCCATCACTGGAAAGTTTCCGCAGAAACATTTTTTTCTACAGTCGGCGGCTTGGCGAAGTTACCCCTCTTCAGCTTTGCAGCGGAATCTGATGCTCGCTTGGTCAGTGATGCTGACGTTCGTGGCGGCGATGGTTCTGCCGATGTTCGAAGAATGGTCGATCAAGAAGGGTGACCGCTGGACGCACCTCGGCTTCCGTTTCCTCAAGGTCTTCATGGTCATGATGGTTGCGTGGGGCTATTTGGTTTGGGGCAGTTGGCAGTTCTACAGCCAATTCAACGGCGATCGAATGTACGGCAACATGCTGTTCGCCTCGCTGTGCACGTTTGTGGTCCTCACCGTCTTGTATCTCTTGTCCATGCTCCAAGAGAGTGACAAGGTAACGAGCGAGACTGCTCGGGAGACGAACAACATCACTGTCAGCGGTCTTTCTCTTGTGGCGGCGTGGAGCTGGGATCTCCAGGGCCCAATGTACGTAGAAACGCCGCCTCCCTCTCCCCATCACCCTGCCAGAGATGAGAGGAGGAGAAGGGGAGAGGGCGGCCAGTTGATGGCAGGGGTGGAGGGGGAACAGTGAGCGGGAGGGTAAACGGCGCTAGTGGTGAGGGGAGGGTGGATGAGGTGAGGGGGAAGGGAGGAAGAATGGAGGGGGGCAGGTTGAGGGGTAGAGGGGGGATCGTGAAGAATGGCAGGGGGAAGGGAGGTTGGGGAGAGGGGGAGAGGAAGTTAGCCGTTCTGCGCAGTCATGAGCTCCGTGAGGAGCACTGCTTCTCCCTGGCCTTTGACGTCATCGGATACCGGTACGACGTGGGCTTCGAAGGCTCGGGGCACAAATCATGCCAGCATTTTTTTGAGGGGTGGGCGGGGGGTGCAAGCTTCTAAGCCCATGATTGTGAAGGCCTGACGGCCGGTGCCGCCGACCCTGAAATGCATCGACGACGACCAGGAGGGGGAGGAGGAGGAGAAGGAGGAGAAGGAGGAGGAGGAGGAGGCGGAGATAAGGAGGAGGAGATAAGGAGGAGGAGGAGGAGGAGGAGGAGGAGGAGGAGATAAGGAGGAGGAGGAGGAGGAGGACGAGGACGAGGAGGAGGAGGAGGAGGAGGAGGAGAATTTTTTGAGGGGTCGGGGGGGGGTGCAAGCTTCTGAGCCGAAGATTCGATCTTGGGCCGTGGCCGCCCACATGGGGCTGGCAATCGATGGGGTTGAGGATCGCGTCGAGTCGCCGATGCATCGGCGATGAATCGGCGACGCGGCTCGACCCAGAGCCTGATCTCAGGCGATCGCAAACATGAATCAAGTGGGCGTGGATTAGCGACGGGCCCCGTTTCCATGGGAAATCGCGGATTGCCGCCGCCGAGCGAGGCGGCACGGGCCGCATGTTGGGGAGGTGCGCCAAATCCATGGATCGCTAATCCATGTTTGCGCGCCCCCGATGATCTTCTCCATCCCGACGTCGGCGATGCGTCGTCGATGCATCGGCGTCGATGCGTCCTCCAGCCCCATCGACTTCGGCCCTACCGGATCGGTCTCCACGCTGTGATGGCCACCCGGCATTGCCGCCGGGAGCTGGCGGCCGCCGAGATCCAGGCCCAAATCGAGCAGGACGGGGCTCGGGGCACACACTCGGGCGACGAAATCTGTACATATCCACTGCTCCCTGACCATGCCCATCTTGAACCCAGGAGCTGTGTATGCGCCCTCCTGGCCAAGCCAGGAGGGCGTGGCGTATACACCGCTGCGGGGTTGAGGATGGGCCTGGCCAGGGAGCAGTGGATATGTATAGATTTCGTCGCCCTACACGCTCTCCCTCCCCTGCTGGGGATGGGGCTCGCCGTGGAGGGGCAGGGAGGTCGCCACGGGCGGCCTGCCTCTCCCAAGGTCTGCACGTCGGCCTGTTTTTTGATCGTGATATCGTTGGGGCTGCCAGGTCGGCCGGTAGAGGGGGGATGAGGGCACTGAGGAGGAGGAGGAGGAGGAGGAGGAGGGGGGAAGGAGGAGGAGGAGGAGGAGGAGGAGGAGGAGGAGGATGAGGATACTGAGGAGGAGGAGGAGGAGGAGGGCGGAAAAGGGGAACGGTGAGGGCGGGAGGAGTGGCAAACAGGGGGAAGACGAGAAGGGGTCGGGAGGACAAAGTGCATGCTCCAGACTGTACATCTCATCACGAGGAGCGTGCGTGTGGTGATTGCAATTCTTCCACGAGCAGAACTTGCACTCAGGGGATGTTCTTATTGCTCGAACTTGCACTTAGGGATTCTTATTCTCTTCTCGCGGCTCCGTGCTCGCCGTCGCCGCCCCGTCGCCGCCTCGTCGCCGCCCGTCGTCTGGGCCTGATTGCTGGTCTGGCAGCTCTGCGCTCGCCGTCGCCGCCTCGTCGTCGCCCCATTGTCGCCTAGATTCGCCTAGATTGCACGACATAGATAGCACCTCATAAATGTAGATGTATTTATATATACATATATACACATATATATAGATATAGGCTACACCGCGTAGATTTCACCACATTTCTTGCACAGCATACATTGCGCCACATATATTGCACCACGTCGATGTCACCGCTTAGACTGCACAGCACAGCTTATGTACAGATAGATGTATATCTATATGTGTATATATTTACACACACATATATAGATATGTTGCACCATATAGTTTGATGTACATGTATTGCACAACTTAAGTTGCGCAATGCACACTACATTGCAGATACTGTGCCACATAGGTTGCGCCACACACATTATAATAACACATCTGTAGCACAACATCTATAGTATAACATCGAATGCACCACGTAGATTGCACCACATAGCTTGCTCCACCTAGATTGCAGAACATATGCTGCGAGAAACACAGTTTGGGGCCCACGCTGGCTAATCGTTTTGTCTAGTGTCGTAGTTGCTTTCCTTACTGTTCGCTGCCTCCACGCAAGGGCTGGTGCCCAAACTCTTCATGGCCACCGCGATACCTGTTATCCTGATCCCCACCTACGTGAAGCACGTCCGCGCAGCCGTCCTCGCGGCGGAGGAGGCCGAGGAGGAAGAGGAGGAGGAGCGCAAGGTGCGGATCTTGGAGAGGGCAGGAATGACGCCACAGGCAACGGGCGGTCCTCTGGGGGCCAGCAGAAGGGAACGGCAGACGTAAGGCCTCAGGGCCAACGTGGGGGCCCACGGGGCGTGTGAAGCAAGGCAGACACAGAGCACACGGCCCAGATGGCGGCCCAGAACGACAACGATGCCACTGTTTGTTTACTCCAGACCCTCGACGTCGTGATGTGTTCACGGCCCGCCTCGGATGCCGGTGCTCTCGGCCCCATCCTCGGGGCAGGTTTTTCAGGTGCGGTCTGCTTTTTGGATGGCCCCAGGGCTGGAACACGGCCCCCGAGAGGCGGAAGCTGCGAGCAGAACTGCCCCCCGTGATTTTTGCCGCGTCGTCTGAAGATCTGGATTGCTTTATTTGGATTTCGATCGAAGAACAACACAACGGCATAAACATAAACTTTTGGCGTTCCGCGCGGATTTCTTGGATCGGCGTTGGAGCCCGCCCCTGGTGCGCGCCGCGCGCCAGGGATTGGGGTCCAGCGCAGATCCGAGACATTTGCGCGGACCGTCTACAATTTATGCTTCTGCCGACTTTTGTTACTCCAGGTACGTCACCGTCACGACAGCATGGTCAGTCACCACAGAGTGAGCCCTTCGCAGCTGCGACAGCAAGTAGTCCCTTGCACTGAAGGCGCCGTGGCCTCACGTGGCTCGAGCGGAGGCCAGAAGGGCGGGTGCGCGCGAGTTCTCGGGCACCCTGCTCCGTCGTCGTTGTCGTTTCCATCCTCGTGCCCCGTCTTCCTCGTTCCTCCTCCCGGCCCTCCTCTCTTTATTTTGTTCCATCCTTTCCTCGGAAGGCGCAGGTAGAAGCCGCATTTAGATCACTGCCCGCTCCCACCCCACACACGTGCGTTTCAGACGAGTTAGCACAGCCCTACGGCGAGGGCCACCCTGGTAAAACCACTCACCCTCCATCTGTGTAGCCACTTGGAACTTCAAACAGGGGTGGACGTCGGCGGCACTGAATTCGAGAGCTTCATTTCGGAAATGACGTGTGTTGCATCTTTGGAGATGTCGTAAAAGTTCAGACAGGTGTGCGCTTCTATGAAGTGGCAAGATAGTGTCGAGAGCCACTTGTGCTCCACCTGTGTAAATGACTGTTGGAATCAGCAGCCGTATAGGCGCGTCCCCAGGCGAGAACCAGACATTGATCAGGTACCTCCTTCCATGTATCCGTGGAGCGAATGTGCGCGGTGCTACGGTGATAATTACATTTTGAAGACGGTCTGTTAACACTTGGAACTCGTACAGAACCACTGCGCGTGACGCTCATGCCGGAGCCACATTTCGAAGACCATTCGCCCCCCATCTGTGTACCTGCTGGGAGCGTCTAAGACGACCACGCGCGGCGCAAAGGTGAGAGCAACATCTTGAGCAGCACTCGCCCTCCATCCGTGTAGCTGTCGGAAATTTTAAGACTGCTCTTCAAACAGCGCTTGCACTTTGGGGGTTCTCACCCGCTCTGTGAGGAGCTGATTATTCTCTGGGTCGCATTCGACCGTCCCTGGCCGGTACCCTATGACTGGTGCCCTGAGCGTTGTCGCATGCCTCGCTCTGCTACTCTTTGGTTCGCTGCCCGTGTAAGCTTCTGCTTTGGCACACACGCGCAAGATTTTCACGGTCCGAGCGTGCTCCGTCGCCCGCGGCTTCCCCCCCTCCAAGCGCCCCGCCCTCTTTCCCTTTGTGCCCGAGCCGGCTCCGTTGCATCCCTCGGCTGTCTCTACCGCTTCTTGGGTTCACGTTGTTGCTGACGAAGAAAGTTGGGCCCTGTTGGCCAGAGTCGGACGTTCCTGGTCGGTGCCCTGTGGTTGCCGTCGTGCGCGGTGCGTTGGGGTCCGATGTCCCCCCCCGGGGCCGCAGGCGGCCGTTCCCGCGCGGTGCCCTACGGTCCGCGCGCTAGAGATGGTGACCTGTGCTCCACTCTGCGCTGCAGCCGGTCCTGCCCAGTCTCTGTGGTCGGTGCCGCCGGTGCCCTGAGGTTGGTGCCTTGTGGCTGGTCTCCTGCGAACGCCCTATTATCGGGGTTGCCGTCCCGAGGCTGGTGTGCCCTGCGGCTGGTGCTCTGTGATTGGCGCCCATCTCGTGCCCTGTGGAGGAGGAGGAGGAGGAGGAGGAGGAGGAGGAGGAGGAGGAGGAGGAGGAGGAGGAGGAGGAGGAGGAGAGGGAGGAGGAGGAGAGCGAGGAGGGAAGAGGGAGGAGGGAGGAGGAGGGAGTGGCTCGGTATGGCTTCCGCCGTAGCTTCCGCTTCCGAGAATCAAGCGATGCCATATCTTGGAGGCCCGGCCCCGGCGGCCCCGGCGGCGCCCGGGTCGCAGACCACCAGGGACCCCCAGGCGCCCCTCAGTGGCGCCCCTGGGCCTCCTGTCTAGGCTTAAGTCGGGAGTGTCCCTCCACAGGAGGAGTATTCAAAAGTAGTCAAAAAATAGTGGGGTATTTCTTGTCAGTCTTTCATTTTCGTCCAAAATCCGCCCGTAGGGGACACGCCCGACCTAACTCTAGGCCTCCCAGATGGGGTCCCAGCAGATGGGGGCGGAGGATCGCGTCGCATCGCCCATGCATCGCCGATGCGGCTCGATGCGGAGCTCGATTTCCTCCACGCCGCCGGCGCCGATGCATCGCCGACGTCGCCGGTGCAACGCCAATGCATCGGCGATGCATCGCCGATGCATCGGCGATGCTTCGCGATCCTCCGACCCCATCTACTCGGATCCCATCTATGAGGCCTCTATCCTGTGAGCCTCCCCCAGGTTGCACCAGGAGGCTCGCGGAGGTCCACAGAAGTTCCAAGAGGGACCTAAAAGGCGGCCCCGAGAGGCCCCGGGCTCTCCCAGGATGCTCCCCGAGCTACACAGAGGCCCAAAGAGAGCCCCAAGACGGCCCCAGGGGGCCGCCGCAGTGCCCTCAGAGGACCTCCGAAGGGCGGCCAACAAGTGGAAGAACCACACGGAGACCGCAGGTTTTCCATTCTTTTCTGGAGTTCCCACCTGTTGACAGCATGTGGCTCGAAGCTGGCCCCTTCGAGGCCCGAACAAGTCCCCAAGAGAGCTCCAAAGGCTGCGCCAGGACTGCTCCGAAAAGGCCAGAGGGCCGGCGACGGCTTCTGGAGGAGGAGTCCAGGGCGGCCCACGGGGCCCCCAGAGGGGCTCAAGACAGCCCGTGAGGAGGAGGAGGAGGAGGAGGAGGCGGAGGAGGAGGAGGAGGAGGAGGAGGAAGGACAATAATAAGAGAAAATAATAAGAGTAGCAAGAAGAACAAACGCAAAATTATTAATCATAAACATCGTAAGACTACGAATTATAATACTAATAGAAAGAAGACGCATAATCATAACATTAAGATCAATACCAATAGTAACACGCATAGAAATATTCACAAGAAGAAGTTTATTAATCATAGGAACAGTATTATCAAGAAACATAGTAGTAAGAATAATAATAGTAATACTACTACGACTAATTTGAATAATTATACGAATTTCAATATTCATAAGAATAATAAGAAGATGAAGAAGAGGAGGAGGAGGAGGAGGAGAAGGAGGAGGAGGAGAGGACCCCGACAAGGCTCAGAAGAGCCCCGGACGCACCACGAGTGCCCGCAAGCACGACGACTCCATGGGATCCCCAAAGCGGCACACGAGTCCCTGAATCAAGAAAGGAAAACCACCCGGACCCGACAGTTGGGTTTACCAAACGGCCCAGGGGCGTTTAACACACAGCCCTGCCCTGTTCGATTCCTTCTGTGAGTGCGTTTCCTGAAAGGCTTCGCCTGTCGGGGTGATCACTATGGGGGTGGATTTTCTGTCCTCGACTCAAGACAACTCTTAAGTCGGGGTTGTCCCTCTACAGAAGGAGTACTCAAAAATAGTCAAACATAATCAGGGGAGATTTTTTTTTTGTTGTTTGTTGAACATTATTTATTCTAAAGAATAATTATTGTTGGGCCCCCTGGTGCGCGCCCCCCCTGCGCCGCCTAGGCCGCAGCTACATTTTCATCATTTTCGTGAGGAAGCCTCAGAAAAGAGGGTGTGTACAGGATCCGGTTGTTTTGTTGTAATCCGCTTTCCCTTGCAAAAAACAATAGAAAATGACATTTCTTGTTCTAATATAATCAAATTTCAAGAATCCCTTGCAAAAAATAAGGTAAAGTGGACATTCGCGCGCGCAAGACGAAATCCTTCCAAAACCTTAGTGTTCGCAGCGATTTTAACATAAAAACATCAAAAAACCAATGGTTTTTCAACAAAAAAATGTCAAAATCTCATCCCGCGCGCTCTTGCGGATTCGTAGGAAACCCAACACTTTTTAAACATTTCTGTCAAACGGGCTTTTGCGAGCAACTTTTTCGAACTTCTGCGACAACGGTTGCGCACCTGCCAGGGCCATCATCCCTGTCAAATAATACCATGCGGGACACATTCGTTTTTTCTTCGCGCGCGCACGCCGTCGTCGTCGGCCGCGGGGCCCTGAATAGTAGCCACGGTCGTCCGCATGCCACGAAGTGAAGTGTCCGAACGTCATAGGGCGGGAAGCTGGGTGTGGGTGGTGGCGAAGAGTCGTTTGGAAATTTGGTAGAGCTTGAACCGGCCCCCCCACAAAGTGGGGGTATTGCCCGCCTCCTATGAAAACCCTGGCACTGGTGAGAACGGAGTGTCCCCACGTGCTAGTAATTGTTGTTGTTGTTGTTGAACATTATTAATTCTAAAGAATAATTATTGTTGGGCCCCCTGGTGCGCGCCCCCCCCGCCCGCCTAGGCCGCAGCCACATTTTCATCATTTTCGTGAGGAAGCCTCAGGTAATTCGAGTGTGATCAAGATCCGGTTGTTTTGTTGTAATCCGCTTTCCCTTGCAAAAAACACTATAAAATGACATTTCTTGTTCTAATATAATCAAATTTCAAGAATCCCTTGCAAAAAATAAGGTAAAGTGGACATTCGCGCGCGCAAGACGAAATCCTTCCAAAAGCTTAGTGTTCGGAGCGATTTTAACATAAAAACATCAAAAAACCAATGGTTTTTCAACAAAAAAATGTCAAAATCTCATCCCGCGCGCTCTTGCGGATTCGTAGGAAAACCAACACTTTTTAAACATTTCTGTCAAACGGGCTTTTGCGAGCAACTTTTTCGAACTTCTGCGACAACGGTTGCGCACCTGCCAGGGCCATCATCCCTGTCAAATAATACCATGCGGGACACATTCGTCTCTCTGTATTATGTATTGTATGGCACAATTGCACCATGCTGGGCACATGCGCGCCCCGAATAAGTGACCAAGTTCTGTGGGTGTGTACCCCACGCCAGTGTAGTAGCCACGGTCGTCCGCACGCCACGAAGTGAAGTGTCCCAACGTCATAGGGCGGGAAGCTGGGTTTGGGTGGTCGCGAAGAGTCGTTTGGATATTTGGTAGAGCTTGTAATGCCCCCCCACGAAGTGGGGGTATTGCCTGGTGTCGTATGAAAACCCTGGCACTGGGGAGAACACCACGCGTTCGGGTAAAATGATTGTTGTTGTTGTTGAACATTATTAATTCTAAAGAATAATTATTGTTGGGCCCCCTGGTGCGCGCCCCCCCCGCCGCGCCTAGGCCGCAGCCACGTTTTCATCATTTTCGTGAGGAAGCCTCAGGTAATTCGATGTGATCAAGATCCGGTTGTTTTGTTCCCCCCCGCTTTCCCTTGCAAAAAACACTATAAAATG